GTGGCGGGGGCCAGGGGGCAGGGAGGCAGTGGAGGGTAAGATGCGCGGTGACGGTGCGATACACGAGCAAGAAAATTACGAGAGGGTCGTCGCGCGCTCCAGTGATCGCGACTAGTCCACCGTCCGCGCAAGAGAATAGTAATGCCTCCCCCGCCTACCCCCCTCTTACCGCCACGGGGCAGATGCCCCCGACGCGACGGAGTGCTTCACCAAGATGTACACACCCGTGCCGCCCGTTCATCGCCGGTTAGGAACATTGGTTCGTCCACTGCGACGTCCTCGAATCGGACCTTCCCCGAGCGACGTCCATCGGTGCTCATCTCTCTTCCGTCTTTCTTCGATGTGTCTGCCTCTTGCGTCCCCTTCCACTAATCCTTGATGCCATCGCGCACATCTCTCCTGTTTCTGGAGGAGATAAGAGATAGACCAACTCCTGGGTTTTCAATCCGGCGGCGCTTAATGTGCCCCGGCGAGGGCGGTGACCTCCTGGACCAGCTTTTGCCGTTTGGCGTCAGGTCCGTTGTTGTTGTCCTGACCGCCGACTCTCTCGCCGACCTGCGGTTGACCAGTAGTCGTGCTTTCAGCAGCCGCGCGAGCCGCCAACAGGGTGATCTGATTGACGACGTCCTCCATTTCGTCGGTGAGCGGATTCGTTTCTTCACCGGACTGCGCACCGCTGTCGAACTGTTGCCGCTGGTGTTGTTGCTGCTGTTGTTGTTGTTGCTGAGCGGCCTCGAGACGCGTACGATGTTGGAGCGTCTCGGCATGGCGACGCCAATCGTTTACGGTAGCATAAGTGCGCGTCGGGACGCCGGGTTCGCAAAGCGAGCAGGCATAGCGCATCTGCACGAGACGTAGGGCGCCCCGACGTTGCTGATTGCCCAGGTAGCAAGAACGCTGGTGCGCCAACAACGTCGACTCTTGCGGATAAGCTCGGCCGCAACGGCGGCACACCAGGCACAGCTCGATCTCCGCCTCGCGGCAGTGCTGCGGCACGACGTTCGTCTCGTCAGGAACGCACGGCAGACGTACCGTCTCCAAGCCCGGGTGATTTGGATCCTGTTGCAGGAACGCCTGCATCAAAGCCCGCGGTACCTGCACTTGCGTGCCGCCCTCCACGTGCAGCGACATTAGACCACCCCCGAGTAGGCCACCGCTCAAGCCCGCAGCCGCTACTGAAAGCAAATCGTGAAATCGTTTCTCGTAAGAAAATTCATTACAAAAGTGTCGAGTCGTTTTAATCTCTGACTACTGTGTCGGTCCAGTTTCGCGCAAGTTTCGTTCTAAAATCATCTTACGCTGCACTTATTTATCTTGAAACTGGACTTACACCGCTTTCGGAGTACAGGCTCGTATTTTATTATTACACATATCAACTATCACATCAATCTCAGATTCTCTCAGCTTTCATAACGCAAAAGCAATTTGCAATCGAGAAGAATAAATGTCAGTTGCATTTAAATTGCCTTACATATAAACATCTGAAAGATATTATATGAAACTCTTTTGAAATCTACTTATGAAATTATTGCAAACACATTCGTGTAACTCAAGATTAAAAAAAAAATATATATATATATAAATATATAATTATCTGATTTTTGTAAAGTAAAGATAGCGGGGCTAGATGGCACATTCGTGCGTAATTGATTTGTGCCAACTTAGTTGTCATAATAGGATCCCCGATGCAACCGGGGAAGAATTTATGCGGAACCTGTTTTTGCCCGAGCGAGACAGGTAAATTAGTACTTATTAGCTCGTCCGCGGGCCGATGCGCATTGACGAGATAATTCCCGCGGCCGTCTCGATGATCCGAAGTCCGCGTATCTTGATGCCTCGTTGAGCGATTAATTTCAATTTTAGGATCATGCACGCCGCGGGAAGCAGGAAGCGGAACGGAATTACTATCATCTTTTTTTTCTTTCCCGTCTCTAAAGACGTAAAGTCGTATTGAAAAAGAAAGCGTAAAACGCGTCACCTTCCGAACTAATTTGGCCGAGGTTTAATCGTATCTATGATCGCAATCTATGCACGATCGCGAGGAAGGATGCTGAAGCGCACTTACGTTCCGACGTTGATTAGGCGGGTTGACAGGTTTACGCAGTGACGCACACGGCTATATCGCCGCGTATCATGTATCAGATGAGGAGTCGTTACGAGGCAGGAAGTGTTAATGATACCCCTGCTCATTCGATGAGCGCACGGCTGTAATTATCAGAGCTGGTAGGGAGGCGCGAGGAAGACGGAGAAGAGGGAGAGGGACAGAGGGGAAGGGGGGGGGGGAGACGCGAGAGAGCTTTCTCTCTCTTTCTCTCTTTCGTTTCTCCGGTTCGTCTTTAATAGTTATTAAACGGCAGAATCCCGAAGTGCCTGGTTCCGTTCCCTCTTTATTGTCTAATGAAAACCCTTGACACACACGTACAGTGATCCACTGTTTGACCAACACTCCTCTCTTTCTCTCTCTCTCTCTCTCTGTTTCTCTCGGTTCTCCCGTTTTTTCTCTCGCGTATTTTGCACTCGCGTGGATTATGGTTTACCTCGATTGGACAAGCAAATAATCCGCGTTTTTATGTTCCGCCATCGAAAAGGCCTTTCTCGGAACGAGAAGGCACAGCCGTGCAATAAAGAAGGGAGAAAAGTGTTACGGATAAATGGGGGATTAACGCAACAACATTGGCCATGTTGTATAGTTCTGGTCGCTCTTCTGTGCTCCCCTTTACGGCCCCATAGCGTTCGCGGGAATGTGGCAAATTCATTACCGGGGCCCCACGGGCTCTCGCTCGTCGGTATCGGAGGCAGCCCGCTCTTCTTGTTTGATATAATCGGCTGAATAATGATGGTCGAGCGCGCAAATAAACGTGCGCCAAACGTGTGGTGGACGACAGGCATTATTGTGGAATTAGAATATCGTAGCTTTTGAGTGAGAGACAAAAAATACGATCCATCGTTCAAGTTTAATTTAATCCGTGTGAATGACCGTAAGATTTTTTATTTAATTTGCGAGATTTACTGGGTATAAATATTTCCATATCATATAATAATATTATCTATATTATTTAAGATAATGGCGAATTTTGCTGTTATTTATTATTGCATTACTACATATCTTTGCATACAAAAATTTTTCAATATTTAAACAGAATATTCCCCCTTCTAGCTTTTGTCGATTAAAAGTTATCGAGCAAATATAAATTTGTTTCTACATAAATTTTATATGCGTATGTATATAAAAGATTATGGAATTTTAGAAATATCTATTTTGGAATGAAAAAGTGAAAGCATTAATACTTTTCATTATTTGTGCCGTTGAATTTTAGCATAATCCAATCGGAAATGAAACGGGACTGATATGATCTCTTTAGTCTTCTTTCTTCCAAGGTCACTGTCATTTCTTCGCCGCGCGCGCGCGAGAGAGAGAACGAAGATATATAATATAATATAATAAGGAAGATCGTTAAATAACGCGTAGCGCGTCACGGACGATCCGTGTGACACCCTTGAAACAATCGAAACGGTTGAGGAGAGAGATTATTACTCTTAATGATCACTAGTTATTCCTTTGAGTGGCTCTGATTCGTCCTCCCTTCCGTCCTCCGGCACCTTCTCCTCCTAGACGGTCAACAGAGATTGTGTTGTGTGTGTGCGCGCGTGCGTTTCGTCTTCGCGTTTACACGCGAGTGTGTATATGTATATGTGTATACACAGACGAAACACACACATTTGCCACCATATACGCACATCACTTTCGTCCTGTCTTCTCAGTGGGGCTCATTTGCGTACGGATTGAGATAGTAGTGCTTCGGTACTGTCGCGATGTGTGTTTTTGTTTAAATGTGTGACCGGCGTGTATATGCGCGAGATTCTGATTGCCGGCCGCTCCCAAGTCCCCAGTGATCGTCATCGCGACGCGGACACTCATTATTTAATTTTAGCATGCCACTATGCTTTAATCCTTTGCGCCGGGAATTACTCTGACCGTGATGCTAATGGAGCGCATTTATATAGTACTCAATACGCGCAAACAGCTCTCAATTGAAACGAACTTTCTGTGACTCTGTAATGTTACTCTAGAATGTCTTACCTATTAGCTTTTTATTTAAATACAATAGAGCAAATATTATAATCAAGAAAGTTTCGTGTATATTTCTAATTTGTTTTCATTTCTACTTAAAAAAATTCCATGTTTTTTACGAATCAAATTTATTAATTATAAATATTAAAATATTTCTTTGTGCCTCAAAATTACAGAACTTATCTTTGTTGATTTATTTTATATTTTATAGTTTAAATATATATTTTGTATTATATATAGTATATAATATATATTTATAATTAATTTAATTTTAAATAATTAAATTAATAATTTACAGGATATGTGTTGAAATATATACATATCATTTATAAAATATCCTAAATGTTCTTTCTTAAATTAACACTATGCATCAAAATTATTTGAAACTTTCTTACTTTCAAATTTTTAACGCATTTTTTAAAAATTGGCTACTTTATTAATTGTTACAGATTTAAAGAGCTCTTTGCCTTTTCGATTCTTCATATGTGAGAACCACTGACCTTAAGATTGCCACGACACATGCTGGAAATTTGTTCGGTGGGAATTTACGAGCGAGTTTCCGTGTCAGACCCATGGACTCTGGTGGTAAGTAGGTATAAGTCTGTATAACCTGGCAGCCATATAAACTCGCATTCGAGGACCGGTGAACAGAATAATCGGGAATGTCGTTAGTTAACGCGTTCAGGAATTTTAACGGCTGTTTCAAAGACGCGCGCGCGGAAAAATGCAATTCGTCATGTTGCGGGTTGCTGTTCAAAGTAGCACGTCATTGAATGACGGTCAATGATCGTAGATAGAATCGATCGCGTCTGAATTGTTTTACAAACTTGTTGAATCTTTCGTGAGAAAGTTTAAGAAGTTATTAAATTCATTGTCATGTGATTATGATATTATGAGATAATAATTGTTATAACTGTTATATACAGATTTTGACATATTAGAAAAGTATTACTAAAGAGTAAATATATTTTTACATTTTATTATTAATTATCGAGACAAATCCGACGTTTTTTTAAAGAGCGAAAGTTAAACTGATACAAAATGTGAAAATGTAATAATCTTCTTGTAATGCATTCTTTATTTATTGATATATTTCCTAAAAAATTTAATTTTACAAGGTACTCCTCCTCACTTAAATTTGTTTAACCGGGCAAGAAGCTGCAAATATATCGATGCTCTTAGGAGAGCATTTTTTTATCACTATCTCATCCATGCTAAAAGGAAAACGCGATAGATAAGGAAAGACAAAAAGTAAGAGAGAGAGGATAAAGAATCGCTAAAACCGTGATATTAAGTTTCGCAATGTCTCTAATGACCGAAATGATAACGCGACGACGTGAAACGCGCGATATTTCATGGCGATTAAGGTAATAAACACACGATCGCTTTTCTCACCGCGCGTCTTGTCAACTACCTCATTAATTGCCGATTAAACAATGAACTCGATTAACGTGGAATTTTAAACGGCTCGTAACGCGCTCTCTCGTTCGAGATTCATCGGAGAGCGAGGGAATTCGTGGACTACCGCGGCAGATGAATCTCGGAGGTGGAGTTAGTACCGCTGAGAGGAGAAGATCTGCGGATTGCCATAACTGCCCGTTACGCGAAGTATGCACAACGGTGCATTCCGCGTGTGCGTGCTAGCGCGTTCTCACGTGGTTGACCACCGCACACGTACGTGTATAGGAAAACACGTCGTGAACGTGGGCGTGCATTCCTCCCTCTCTCTCTCTTTCTTTCTATCTCGCGCCCGTCGTCGACCGACCACGTACGAGAAGGAATCCTCTCCTCTTTTTATTCCTTATCCAGACCCGTTATCGTCGATACCATGGCCCGAAACGACTGTTTCACACCTCCGCTCGCGCGGGAATTAGGAAATAAATTAGCGGCCGGGCTAATTTCGTTATCTCGTTCGATGACCGCCCCACCCCGCTTAAGACGTCAAGGCCTGATGTCGGGTTTCGAGACCCGATGCGGGACCCGAGGACACGGTCGAAATCGTGTCCCGGCGCACCGCAGGATCAATCTGCTCGCTCGCTCGCGCAAAGTGCGGCTTCGTTAAAAACAGGTCAATTCCGATTAAAGCGATGGCGAGGTGGCAAA